AGGTCACTGGTCCCCCAAGGGAACCACAGAGAGGGAAAAAGCCAGTGGGCTGCAGGGGGAACAGCAAGTACCTGGCTGGTAGATAGGCAGAGGCGGGCATCTGTGCTTAGGAGCTAGCTGCATGGCTTAGCTTGTCCACAGGTTAACTTTCTGCCTTGAATGGAAGGAGCAGACTGTAGCACAATGAGTGGTTAATGCATGTGGACCACACATGGCCAACGCAGTGTTCAAGACCAGACCAGGACAGGGCTGCTCAAAAGAGGCTGAGTGGGTGTACATGCACAAAATGCAGAGGTGAATGGAGAGGGATTAGGAAGGGAGAGGAATTACAACGTGCCTATCCTCTGGGGGGAGCAGGGAGAGGGCTCACTTTCCCTCTAGCTAGCTGGGGCTTGTAGCAGATTAAAAATAAAAAATACTCAGCTTTTCCTCTTGACAAGCCCCATCTCTCTTGGCTATCAGGCCCTCAGTGGGGGCACCATCCTTGCAGATATGCTTCATGCCCCTCAAGGCATCCCACTTCTCCTTGGCTGAGGGACAGGAGCCTCACTGAAGTGCCACAGAACTCTCCCTTGCCCAGGGCCTGCTATCCTGGCACCCACTGCAAGGACCTGTTGTGGTCCAGCCCAGAGACAGAGGAAACAGAACCATCCCTCACTCCAGTGTGCTCGTGCACCTTTATTCTCAAGGCTGTCCCTGCCTCCCCCAGCCGTACAGGAATGCATGGTCCAATGATGCCCACGTGTTCTCTTTAACGTCATATTACAGCTTCCAGGCCATGCAGGTGATACCCCAGGCACTAGGCAAGGGCCATGGCTAAGATGTTCCTGGGGTCTCACAGCACAAGGGGAAGGAGTGGAGGGGGCTTCCTGGACCATCCATTCTCCCAACCCTCCCAGGCACAGAAGTGGGAGACAGCAGTAGAGGATCCACCCAGGCCTTGTAGTTCCCAGTGCCAGGCGGGGGGTAGCTTCCATAATTAGTCTGCAAGGAGGCTGCTGGGAACCCTCAACATGAATTCCAGTCAAGTGTTTCCTCCAGGAGTCAATGAAATGTGCCAGCATCCCCCGCCGATAAGGGGAAGGGGAAGGCAACTGAGGCAGAGCAAGCCCCATCCCAAGGAGGCCAAGGGGAGGCAGAGGTGGGGACAGCCCATCTAGGCAGAACTCATTGGCTGTAAGAACTGGGTATGTTGGGCCCGGTGGACTCTCCAGGTGGAGGAAGGTTTTCCTCTTTAGCCTCTGAGATGTGACTCAGGCCTTGAGCCACCGGCTCCTCAGTGGAATGTTCACAGGCACCTAGACAGGCAGGGAAGAGACCCCCAAATGTTCAGGATGGGCAGTGTCCACCCTTTACTGTGTTGTCCCTCTGGAGGAAGGGGAGTCTTGAAGCTCCCCCCCTACCGGGGGCATATCCTATCTGCATTATCTGCCCACCCAGCCTCTCTTGCCCACCACTGGACAGTGTGCTCAAGGGGCAGGGTGGGAGCAAATATGAAGCTGCTGTAGGCGGCACAAGGCCCACAAAGGAGCCTGTGCGCATGCGCACCCGAACCTCTTCCGACTCGCTCACTCCCCAGCGCTTGGGTAGAGCCACCGAACAGCCCCGGAAACTGTGGCGCTACTTCGAGAAGCAAGCCGGGAACTAAGGACAGGAAGGCGGGGAGGAG